TCCCCCCCCCCCCCCCCGCCACCTTCTCTCTCTCTCACTCGTGGCAATGTGGCTCCGACCTACCCGCCGCTCAGGACCTGGACCGCGATAACTTCATGTCGGCACAAGCGGCCGCCGACTACGGCCTCGTGGACAACGTAATAAAGCTCTCCAAGAAATAGAGAACAAGGGGGGGCATGCTAAGAACCCGTATGTTGCCGCGTGTTGGTGTAGACAGCAGTAATGGGTGGTGTTTGGTCCGTCCGCAAGTGTGTCACTTGTCGAGCGTGCACGCGCACATGCCGTAGGGTCGATCGGGCGATAGGCGAGACGGGGGGTCAACAGAAGTTCTTCTCGGGAAGAGCTTCGATTTTGAGTAAGTAGTTTGTTTTGGCGGCGACGGTGTGGGTGAGGTTTCTTGGGACGTGGCATGTGGCTCGATGACGGCGCGGAGCTTGCTTCTTCTACGTTTATTTTCATTCAATCCCACGCGACTCGTAGCAGGCCTACGTATCATACCTGGGGTGTTTTGCACCGCTGGGTAGAAGGCCTCGGCTGAACCCGAACAAGTAAGAGGCAGTAAATTGTGTTCAAACTAATGCTCCTGGGCTTCTGCCTTGTTCTTGCTCAAGTGGTGCAAGTGCGGGTGGAATGTTTGCTGCGGCTGCTAGATGCTGCGTCTCGGAGGCTTGCTTGGAGTTTGGCGCACGCGGCGCTTCATTTGATTCGGAGGTCTCGCGGAAACGCCTTTCTTTGTCGTGCTCGGCCAGAGGACCCTACCGCACAGTTTGTGTGGCGTCGTTACCGTTGTTGCCTTGCGGTCGTGACATCAGCGGCAGGACCCACCAGAGATGTGACGTATCTGCGTGCCGACATCAAGACCTTCCGACTGCTTGTTGCGATTCCATCTCCTCTTGTGCCCCAAGTGCACCATAGTTTTTCCTCTCCCCCCCGAAAGCGCTACCCCTGCTACAAAATTTAGCAGCGTTGTACGGAAGGTTGGTATTTTTGTATTTTTCCCTAGTGAAGTGGGGTTGAGTGGCGAAGGTGCCGCGCGGCAACCTCACAATCAACTCCACTGCCCTGTCGGCACCACAACCCGTTTGAAAGCTCTCCTCCGTGATTTTCCGGCAAACTACCACGGGGATTTTTTAGAGGCCTGTTTTCCCTTGCAGGAAGAGGTAGAACTCTACGGGTTGCCAGGCGAAGCGATATGGACTGCCAACACCCTTCGTCGTGCTCACCCTCATGTATAAGCCGTGGTCTCTCAAAACAATTTTGACACATTTTCACCCATGAAAACAACACGGATAGCGTCGGTCGAAAACCAACACAGTAGTGCCACGTTGTGTTCCGCTTGATACGTGTGCACAAAAATCCTAGCATGGGTCGCACCGGACGATGCGCAGCCGGCGGCATCTCTCGTACGCCTGCTCATACAGCAGTTCATCACCTCCCACGAGCGTCCGTGCTGGTACTCCTCGTGATTTTTTTTTTTGTTGTCTTCACTGCAGATCAGTGCTCACATCGTTTATGTGCCTTCATCTCGTGCCTACATAAGTAATTTCACGTCGATTCTTTCCTCAGACAAGTATGGGATCGAACAGTGGCATCACCTCCCACGGCCCGGTATTCACTTCCTCCCGCACTTCCTAGTCCTGCGCTTGATACAATCTTCCTAGGGCTTGAACAATCCTATACTCACAAAAATTAAAGGTTTGAGGAATTTCGTTTGAGGAATTTCATACATTCATGTCTCCACCAGCTGTTCCAACAAGGGTCGACTGCTAAGCGCTGCCAGCGACCGGGTTTGCTCGCTCAAGGCAAATCCGTTCAGCTCCCGGTATTGCTCCTCCGTCACTCCCCGGACCATACCCGACCCTTCTGGACCTGGGGCCACCACCTCCTTCAACCTCATGTATCGCCAGGCCGTCTTTGGGTTCCTCCGATACGCCTTTTGCATGATAGCTGACAAGGACTCGAGTCTCCCTGAAGAGCCCGTGTGAAAGCTCCCCCCGACCGAAAACATGCCCTCGATCTCTTGCCAAATGTCAAGCAACAGTTTGCTTTGGACAGCAGCGAGTGCCGCCAATGGGACCGGCACGGCCGCAAGTGTCCCTCAAGCCGAGCTCTCTAAAGTAAAGTCTAAAGCGTGAAAACGTAGGCCCGGAATTCCAGGGCAAGATCACGAAGCCTTGACTTTTCCGCCTCCTTGCAGCTGCTTCTTGCGCTGGCGGAGCATGTGCATGTACAGCTTGGGCGCGCCTATTGCGAACGCGAAAACGATGTAGGCGTAGAGGACGTAGATGCTGGACCCCTCCGGGAGCCCCGGCACACCCGGCAGTCCCACCGCCTGTTGAAGTCGTCACAGGGCGTGCGCGCGTGCCAAGGTTAAAACATTCGACACCTAAACCGCGACATGTCCTTCGAAACTAACCGCGGACCAAGGGAGGAGCGACGTGCAGAATCAGTCGTTCGGCCAGCCAACCCGGAGCCCGGGGTCCCACACACGGGTGTTCTCGAACACGACGACGAACCAAAACGAATGAAAAAAGAGGAAAACCGACACAATCAACGAGAATCTTCTCGCACGATAGTGAGAACAGGAAGCACACCCCTCAACCCAACCGACAGCAAAAATAAAACTTCCCCAGCGGGGCTTTCGCTGCAGCTAAGAACACGATGGCCGGGACGAGCCCCCAACAGGACGGAAGCACACTCGCCCGGCGGATCGGGTCCGACGCCACTAACCTTGATGTGCGGCAGGCCAACGATCCACGTCCCCAGCTCGCCGGCGAAGCCCAAGGGGTAGAGGAGGACGAAAGCCGAGTACCGGAGCCATTGCAACACCGGGGGGCACATGCCCGCGATGTTCAAGGCATAAAATGGATATCTAGATCGGGCAGGGAGGAGGGCGTGCGTGTAACGAAAGCGACACAGCAGCAGGTAGTAAAAGATGGAGCGAGAGGGTCAGCGGCCATGTCGCGAACCAAGAACGAGGGTGCACTTGCAAAGCGGCAGCAATTCGTACCATGCAGAGAGCGACGCTTCTCTCCCTCCCAAAAAAGGTGGCGGTAGTTTCCTGCAGAAAGCAGCACTCCTCGACCGCCAGCCTCGAAACATGGCACGCGTGCGCATTGGCTGGCACGTCGTTTAAGATCAATGCTCCCTCGGCCCGAGTGTATTTTCTGTCTGCATACCTGATGACCTCGGACGTTGCCCAGGCCGTGAACATGAGGAGCACCCACGGGCTGTCTCGTACCGGCGGGAAGGCCGTCACCACCGAGAACAGTGCTAGATCTCTTCCAAACACCTTTTCTTGCGCACGGTACACACGTGTGTGTCGAAAAAGTACGAAGAAGGGGCGCGCGAATGCTTGTTGAGCTGTCGAAGCAAGCCGTGGATACAACCACAAAGGGTGAAATCGGCGAGCTCTACGTTCACAATCGCACTGGTACCCCTTGCCACACACACGGACAGGTGTGTGAAGAGGGAAAAATAAAATCGTGCATACGACCATACGGCAGTGCCCATTGCACAGACGTAAAAAAAAAAAGACAATGACCTTCGTGAGCACAACAGGGACATGTCGCCACAAACGCTCGCTTCATTTCGGCACTCCGCTCCTGGCGGAAAATCCAGACGGCTAGGTAGCCGGCAACACCGTGAAGGCGTGGCTCACCTGCATGAACACGTTCATCGGGTTGCTCTTGACCTGTGCATCGCCGTACATATTGTGAGGCGTTACCCGCGGCGACAGGCAAGGGCGGGCGACGAGATAGGTAGGATCAGTTGGGCCCCTCGACCACGTCGAGCGATCACGGCACGGCGGCAAGAGAGGTTGAAATGGGATTTCTCCTGTCTATTTTCACACGCCGGCAGCCCGACTGACACGCGTCACGGGGTATCTTGACCCTTTGTTTTGTTTATAGGGCGGACAATTCTGATGTCGGATGGCACACCATATCGCACCATGCCAGGCACTCGAAGTACCTGAAGGACAAGCGGTGAGTGGACTCTCCCTACATCGAATAATGACAGCACGGTGAGCAACAAAACACCTGCACGCGGTTAGATTTTTTTGGCCCAAAAAACCGAAATCGTTCTCACAGGCGCTCGACCATGCGCATATATTTGCGATACCCGAACCCTCCCTTTCCTCTCGGCAGGCACGTTGTCGGGCCCCTCGCAATGCCAATCCACCTGATACACACTTCGTAGACTCTGTGCAGAAGACGTCACCGCGGGATACTGCCGTTGCATTCTGAACTATTATCATAAGTTGTTCTCTTCCTCCCCCGCCGGGTACAGTACACGCCCCACCCTCCCACCCCCAAAACCATCGGACAAGTTGCGCTGATATATGTTGTGTCACAGGAGGGCTCGAGTTTTCCCCGGGGCTTACTTTTTTCGTTGACATTGATAACTCAAACCGGCTGACCACTGAAAGGGCGGTCGCCTTCGCGGGGCGAGAAACACAACATCACAGCTCGAATGTGGGATCCTCCGACCCAAAAACGAGGTCGCAGAAGAGAAATGACCGAAGCTTCCAGCCTTCTCATCCGGGGCACCCGACGAACGAGATACAACAACGGCCTCTACAAATAGAAGAGAGAACCCTAAACCTTAACCTTTCTGTGGCACCAATTTCTCATGGCTGGCGTCGTTATCGTGCAGCCGACTGCACTCTCTATCCGACACCCGGTCTCCATCCCGTCTCGACCCAATGTTGTAGCCCCAGCGCTTTTTCAACTACGGCAGTGAGGTCTTGGTATTCACTAGACATATATTCAAAAACTGTATACAAGTACTGTAGAAGTGCCTTACTGTATACGCCAAGACATGCCCTCCCCGCCGAGGAGGAAGAGGCAGACACAGAGATACAAATATCCCATTTTTCGCTGGGGGGGGGGGGGGGGAACCCTTTTTTGGCTTGCCGAAACCTTTTAACCTTTAACCCCCGGCCCTTTTGAAAAGGAACCCCCTTTCTACACCCAATAAAAAAACCCCCCAAATTTTGGAACTCTTTTCCTTTTTGCCCCAAAATCCCTAAAAAATTTTTTGCCAATTTTATCCCCTCCCCTAAGGGCCCTTGGGCCCCCC